TGCCCTCCAGAACTCATGTCCAGTCTTAAGTAAAATCATCTATTATCCCTTCATCCCTTTGTTCTTCCCCAGTGGCATTGCTTCCCTTCAGCCTTTTTAGATGGTGGTTATTTTCCCTACTACACCTCACATACCATGGGCTTTGAAAGCTTCCTTTTTAATGGACTCTTGCAGACCATCTTCATTCACTCTCCCTTCTCTATAAAACCCTCAGTCAGTCATGACATCAAATTAAACCACCGACAGTACTGATTCCTAGGCCTCTGCCTCCCATTCCATAAAGATTTCTAACTCACAACCATCCTCTCTAACTCTCCTCTAGTAGCGATCTCAATATCCATATGATTCAATCTTCCAGTATCATGCTTCCCAGTTCCTTGCCCTCCTTTTCTACAATGATCTTGCTATCAGAATCACCTGTTTACAGGATCATATCTTAGCTCTTGTCACTGTCAAGAATCACAGCCTTTCCAAAATCTCAATTTCAAATATTCCAATACCCAATCACCAGTTATTCTAGCCTCTAACTTAAAATTCCTTGGCCACTGGACTAACCATTTATTACTACTCTTCACTGTTCCCCACCCATCTCCTATTCTCACTTCACTTCTTAGTCAGTTAAAATGTAATGGCCATTTCTTTTAGCCACTGCCTTGCCCCCTCTCAACTCATCATTCCCTCACACTTGCTCTGCCATTAATTAAATCCAGCATTCTACCTGATATGTGCCCAAATCCACAGAGCTAACTGTGATGAAAGAACTGTCTCTTCTTGAATTCATACATATTAATAACCCTAAGTAGGTCACAGTGAAAATTCTATTTCCCTAGTCCAGTCAATCTTTTTACTCTCCTAGTGAGTATTTCATAGCTTTTAATCTCTCCTAAGACTTTTAACATCTCTATCACCTTCGTGTCACGTAATACTAAAAACAGAGACTATTAGAAGAGAACTTCTACAAGTTCCCACCAACTCCCATCATCTCCCCACTTACTTGTACCTCTGTGCATCTATTATGCCTCCCTTCTTCTTCCTATGAATAAATTGTATGTTGTTTGACTCATTTATATGCATGTTAGATTTAACCCCTCTTCCCTGTTCACTAGATCAACTCCTTGAATTTCCTTTTCTCTTGTGCCATTTTCTTCTGTTGAGTCATTCCTATCATCATACAAACATTATCATTTTCTTATTATTTGAAAACCTACCTGTCCTGACCTAATGTCCCCCTCTAGATACTTCTGCATTTCTTCATTTTCCAGGAAAACTCTTTCAAAGAGAATACTCATTACCTCAAATTGCTCTCCTCCCATTCTGACTTATCACATTCCAATAGGGCTTTTTGCCCCGCCCCCCAAATTTCATGGAATGTATGCTTAGCGAGGTCAGCAATGGATTCTATATTATTCATCTTACCTAATTATCACCAGCATTTGACATAGTAGATCATTCCACTCTTCTTTGAAACATTTTTTAGAAAATAAGCCTTCCAAAAACCATATCCTTCTGATTTCCCCCTTTGCCTCCAGCTACCTATTCTTTATTTCTTCTGTATTCTCCTTCTCTCCCTCATCTCTATGGATTGAAGTATCCCCAGTTTTTGGACTTGGACTATGTGCTGTCTTTACACTCACTCCCTTGGTGACTTCATTAATCCCATGGCTCTAACTACCATCTACATGCTGATGACTTGTATACGCAGCTCAGACATTCCCTTAAAATCTAAAGACACATACTCAAATGTCTACTTGTCATCTCCAATTGAATATCTAACATGTCTCTAAAATTTAACCGGCCTCAAATTTCTTTTGATTTCTTAACCCTTCAGCTAAACAAACAATCCCGTGCCCCTCTTATAGTCTCCCTCATTAAAATAAATGGCAACTCTCATTTTTCCTGTTGCCCAAGCCAAAAAAACGTTTAGCCACAGTTGATTCTCCTTTCTCCCTCTTGCATTCTATATCTGATCTATCCTGAAATACTGTCTGTTCAACCTTTAGATTTGAATAAGAATCTGACCACTTCACATATCTCCAATGCTGATGTCTGAGTCATCATTTTTACTATAGCCTCCTATCTCGTACCTATGCCTCCAACTGCTTAGCACATTCTCAACACCATCCCATTGAAAGGTTAAGTCAGAGCATGTTGCCCCTTGTAATGAGGGGAGGCTGCATGCTGTAGCTCACCACTATCATGTGACACCATCCTACTACCCTTCTCTTCTTGGCTCTACTCTAGCCGTTCTGACTCCCTCCTCACAGATCTTCAGCAGACCAGACCAGGGACTCGCCTGCCCTGGGTACTTAGCACCGGCTGCCTGGATTCCTTATTTCCTCAAAATCCACATGGTTCAGTGCTTTAACTCTGTTCCATCTCTACTCAAAAGTCACCTTCTCAGGGAGTTAGTTCTTATTTGACCACCTGTTCAAAAATTGCAATACTCCAACATTTCCTGTTATTTCTTAGTATATTATTTTTTCCTTGGCCTCTATAACTACCTAAAATTCTTCAGATGTTTCTTTATTTTATTTATTATCTCCACTAGAATACAAATTCCATGGGTTCAGAAATTTTTATGTTTCATTTCTTTGTGAATCTCAAGTGCTTAAAAATGCTTAGAAAATGTTAAACATCCAAGAAATATCTAAATGAATAAGATAAAAATAAATGAATAACCAAGCATATTAAGAAAAGAAATATAAGAAAATTTTAAAAATAAATAATTGAAATAACGCACTGGATTAAAGGGACAATTAGTTTTCAAAGAACAACATAATATCAATACAAATAGCTATGCTTTGTGGGTCATTGTATGAGGCTAGCATAAATTTGATATCCAAACCAGTGATAATGGTAAGAAAAATAGATAAATCTTGCCCATGAAAATAGATACAAACATCCTAAACATTATCCAGCAAATTCTAGCAACATATAAAAAAGAATATGTTATAGCCAATATATATAGTAAAATTCCTGTTATATAAATTTCAAAATAAGCAAACACTAACACTACAAGTATCTTTCACTATGCAATCTATTTGGTACACATTATGATTTGAATGTTTGTGTCTCCCCAAAGTGTATATGTTGGAATCTACCCCCCAGGGTGATGGCATTAGGATGTGGGGCCTTTGGGAAATATTTTCTGAAGGACAACCCTTCATGAATGGCGTTATTACCTTTATACAAGGGGGCTAGAGAACTATCTAGCTACCTTTCTAACAGTAAGAAGCTGGCAGTCTGCAACCTGGAAGAGGGCCCTCGCCCCAGAACGCATGATGGCACCCTGACCTCAGATTTCCAACCCCCGTAGCTGTGAGGAATACATTTCTCTTGTTTAATAGCCACCCAGTCTAGGGTAACTTTGCCATAGAGCCCTAGGTGACTAAAACAGTACCTGAATTCAAATAGTGACCATCTGGATAATGAGTTGGGACACTTAGTGCGTACTTCAACTGAACCTATTTATTTCTTAAGTTAGCATATAGTAATATGGACTCTTCATGTATGTACTGTTCATGAATTTTGACCCATACGTAGATTTATGTTGCCACCACCACCATAGGACAGCTCTGTCACCTCATATAACCCCCCACGCTATCCTTTGTAGTTACAATCTCCCTCTAACTGACAAACCCTGGAAACCAATGATATATAAAACGTCATATAAATAAAACTATATATCATGCAACCTTTTGAGACTGGCTTCTTTAACTCCCCCAAATTACTTTGAGATTAATCCAAGTTGATGTATGTGTTAATAGTTTACTCTCTCTCTTTTTCTTTTCTTCTTTTTTTTTTTTTTTTTTTCTCTGTGTAGATAAACCATAGTTTATCCATTTAGCCAATGAAGAGCATTTGGGCTGTTTCCAGTTTGGGGAGATTATAAATCAAGTTTCTATAAACACTTATGTGGAAGTTTTCATTTGAGCACAGGTTTTTATTTCTCTTAGGTAAATACCTCGTGATGGGTTTGTGAGCTCATATGGGAAGTGTATGTTTAACTTTATAAAAAGTTGCCAAATAATTTCCCAAAGTAGCTGTAGCGTTTTACACTCCCATCAGCAATATGTGAGGATTCCAGCTGCTCTACATCCTTACCAGCGCTTGGCACTGTCAGCACGTTTTGTTTTAGTCATTCTTATAGGTCTACAGTGGAAACTAAATCCCTTTGGCTCCTGAATTTTGAACACTGCATAGCCAGATTTTGAGAATGAATTACCTAAATTGTATCTTAATTTATTTGATTGTTTGTTTGGATAGCAAAGGCTACATACCTAGGTAGTAAAACTATGAAGAAAAACAATGAATTGATCAGCTTAAAAGCAGATAGTGGTTAGGGAGGTGGATGCAATCCAGTAGGTAACTAGGGGACTCGAAGATATTGATAATATATCATTCATCATATAAGGCAGGAACACAGGATGTGTTTTATTATTCTTACAACTATACCCATGTGTTTAATACATATCACAATAAGAAAGTTAAAAGAAATATGTTTTAGCATAAAACACACAAAAAAGCAATGCAGAAAGAGATTTAAAAAACCTCCTTTTCAGGAGTTCAAGTACAATGAATTAAAAGACACTATAAATAAAAGCATTTTGTAGGATCGGGACACGACACATTCTTAAAACTTTTTCTTTAAAATCTCTTTAAACTGAGTTTCTTTAATATTTAAATGCTTGTGTATATCCAACGGGCCAAACTGCGGACAAATCAGTTTATTAATGTATTTGTTTATTCTCAGAGGCCTCAATCTAGACACACTTGAAGGGTTGGCCATGCCAAAGCCATTCTTAATGAGTGGCAAAGAGGTGCTTCTTCCTAGAAATCAAGACCAGGATGGGACCTGAGTCAAGAAACATGTTGAACATTTCATTCTGAATACTCACAGATTCTTAGACACCCTCCTCCCCACTCCCCAAGTCACAATTTGGAATACAGAACTTTTCAGTAGTTATGGTTGTCACCAACACCTGTAAGAAGGACATTACCTGTGACAACACTGGGGATTTTGGAGAGAAAGCTCTTGACTGTTCTGATGGGCACACCCCCTGTCTTATCATCTTGCATCTTTGTAATGATGTCTTCAATCTGAAAGACATTAAAGAAAAGAAGTGTTATTTTCTCCCACAAAGTCACAGTAAATGGTACTTCTATAAATTATCCAAATGTGTAAATAGGGATGTCAACAACAGCTATCAGGAAAAGCCTCCGCCTAGCTGCTGAATAAATATCAGTGTCTGTTATCAACCAATTGCTGGGTGTGAGGAGGTAAGAAGGTAATATATACAAGAGCAAAAGGCTTGTTATAGAGGAATAACCCCCCAGTTCAACCAAGTAAGGAGAAAGAAATACAGCAGGATTCTTGACAGGATGCAACATGTAATTCAGTATGTACGTGATTTAATTCCTCCTCTTTCCCAAACTAGGTTTGTATATACGTTGAACCATAAGAAATTTCTATATTCAACCTCTCCATGGCGATTTCCAATGGTTCAACCTAATATGTTAACGTAGATTAACATATTGCTATTGGGAATTGCAGGCAGAGTTGCCTTTGGGACCAGAGAAGGACACAGCCAGGGTCACATGAGAGAAAAACAAGACTGTAAATCAAGACAGGGAAAGCCCTAATCTGGAGAAGTTGGAAAACAGGTCTCAGGGGTTGTGAGTGGTGGGTGGGGGATGGTCACCTGAGCCAGGACTAAGGATCAGATCAGCCAGGAAGCACTATCAGGAGAAAGACCATGGGGGGTTGTGACCTGGATCTAGGTGACAACTTATTGGTGAAAAGAGAACAGAGAGTGGAGATGGACTGACAAGGATGTAGGAGCCTAGACTGGAAGCCAATTTGTAGCTAAGAATTTATAAGCCAGATGTAATGTCCTGAGCAGATATTTTCAGAATAAGATACAGAAAAAAACCTGTAACAAGGATACATATCTTTTAGTTTGGGAAGGGAAGAACAACTGATGAGGAGGGAGGAAATAATGTTTACTATTATTGCATATTTTGTTCCTCTAACCCAGTGGTTCTCAACCTTCCTAAGCCACGATGTATTTTCACTGTTACAAAGGGGTCAAGACCCATAGGTTGAGAACTGCTGCTCTAACCAACAGCAGCAATTCTATTGAAACACCAGGATGGATTCTGAGAATGATTCCTTAGTAGAGTTACATAATCTAATTAAAGCTGTAGCTCACCTAGTCTAACGTATTACTATTTTAATTTGAGGGTAAGCAATTTTTTCAAAGACAAATGACTAATAACTTGTTTGACAGAAATAGATAACTTGTTAGAGACAAAGTTAGGACTTGGCATAGCATCATCATCATTATGAATAGCCAAATATATTAAAAAATTTATTATGTACTAGGTGCTATTCTAAGTATTATATATACACTATCCTGTTTAATTCTCATAATTATTTCATAAAATAGATTTCACACTTATCCTCATTTTTTTCAGATAAAGAAACTTAAGATTTAGCAAAGTGCATCAATCAAGGTAGGGTGGTTTAAGTTGTGGCAGCAAATAATCCCCCAAACATGAGTGGTTCAGCCCAACCAAGCTTACTTCTCTCTCCCACTGAATGTCTAGTGCAGATCTATGGGGACGTCGCTCATTGGAGGGACTCTCAGGCCTGGGCTGAGGGAGCATCATGATCTTGAATGTTATTGGTCACTGTGCCAGACAGACAAGAGGGAATTGTGGAGAGTATCTTACTCATGTTAAATGGTCTAAGCCAGAAGTTACATATAACATGCTTGCTCACAATTCTTTGGCCAGAACAAGTCACAGAGCACCACCCAACCACAGAGGAGTCAGCTCTCTGGGTGCCAGGAGGAGAGGGGAACTGACCATCTGTGATCAACACCAGTGATGACTGAAGCAATTAGGCAACCTCCAAAACCTTCACAGGGTCTCACATGAAGCCAGTTGTGCAGCCAAGACTGAAGTCAGCCACAGAGCACAGAGTTCAGGCTTCAACTGTGGAGCCATTCTGCCTCCCAGTAACTCTCAGAATACCAACCAGGCATGGAAACAATTCTCACCTGTGAACTTGGGTTTTCTTGGCAAGTACTGAGAGTGAAAGAAGAAAATCCTAAGCTCCCAGCCCTATGGGTGGTAGATGAAGTTATCAAGCTAGACAAAAGGGTCATTTTCTGAACACCTGCATTCTGTTCAAGGTCCCTGGAAGAAGGACCTTCATCCACATTCATGTTCATAGTCTCAGCTATTGCCAGCCTTCGGTCTCCTACACTCAACACAATTTAGAGTAGTTTGATTATTACTAATTGAGAGCCAAAGAGAGCTAGACCTAGGAAAATGGTTGCATTTTCCAAGTCATCTATGCTTTTGATTTAGTATATTACTTGAAACCAGGAGCATCAGTTACATCGATGGTGTCTAAGAAAATGGCCGAAAATCATTGAGAATTGGAGGGAAACCAACAATTCAATTCAGTTAGACCACAGAGTGGACACTAGATGGTAATAGTTTCCAGCCTCTGCTGCTGTGGGCTGGACTGTGATTGGTGCTGCGATTCCTTTCTGCTCTGGTCCGTTTAGCTGCTTCCTCACACGATTGACTCTTAAAAGGGCTTTTTTCCTAAAGAGAAAGTCCTGTCTTCTTATGTTGGCCCACAATGTACCAACAGGTATATCGCTCACCAGGGTTACAGCTGAATTGAAAGCACAACCTCACAACCGACCAGAAAGGGACTACACTTCCACAGTAGTTTATAACATCACAGGCAGGGAAGAGTGAACTATTGCCCCCAGTTCCAGAGGCCTCCTTAGCATGGATGTACAGTGGAATCCTTGCCCTGCATTCAGGGCAAGACTCCCGGTGCACAGGCTACACTCTGACTCTGGGGCTCGGCTGGCTGCTGGGATGTTATCAAATGTGATATGAGCAAAGGCTGGCCGCGCACCTGCATAGCCCACTTACTCTCTTGCCCTCTTGCCTTTTCCATGAGATGAACATGTCTCAGATTCATGAGAAAGAAAGAAATTCTTCTTGTCATATGTCACTAAGTTTGGGGTGATTTGTTCTATGGCAAAATTATGACATAACAGAGCACTGGAAAAATGCATGTATGAAAAATTCCTGAAGCCACAACAAATACTTGACAATCAGAATCAATGAATTTCAGAACTCGGGTATTTGAACCTGACCATTTTGAAGAATGCAGAAATTCAGTCACACCATCTGCCATCTACTGAAAAACTCACAGGAACTATACTACTTTCAGGCAGCTCATTTGGCTTTTGTGCTAGATACGTTTTTGATAACTCTAACTGATTCTTGAGCATAGTCCACTACAATATCAGCTAATAATAATACTCTCTCTGAAATTCTTTGTCATGGTTCCTAGAGAATTCCCAAGAGCACAGACCCAATAAAAATTACAAGTGGGTGAAGGGGCAGCCATGATTTCATTATTTTTTTCCTCTTCTTTTTCGATTAGTAATAATAGTTAATAGTTATAAAAAGGAAGAACAAAGAACTGAGGAAAAAGAAAAAGGCAAGGTGGGGGACAAGAAGCTCCATAGCAGACACAGGCTGTAAATCACGTAAACAGCCCCGATAACAATAACCAATCAGAAGTTCACACGGTACTAACCCAGCAAAGACCCCAACTACAGAAAGATAGGTAACCTATCAAAACCCCAGGCCTCCCCAATGACCAATAAGTAAACGGACACTGACTTCTTCCTCAGCCATCTTCCTTAGCATTTTATTGCAACCCATAATACCCTGCAAGAAAGTGTATAAAAGTTTTCCTGCCCTTTGTTTCGGGGCCACTCTTTTCTATGACCACTTCAATGGTGGGAGTGACCCGAGCACATGCCTGAAAAGAATAAAACTCCTTGGATTTCCAGGTGTGCATGGTTTCTTAGTGGCAAATCTGGTCCCTACAGTGGACTCTCAGGAGCTGATAAAAATAATGACAAGCATTTTAAGAACATCTATTTCATGATCAACATTCCCCTAGGTATTTTAAATAAATTATTGAACTTATTCCTCAGTCTTAAAAGTGATTTAGTAAAGATGTTGAAAATGAAGCTGAGAAAGGTTACGTGTTCGATCCAAGGTCACACAGCTAGCAAGCAGCAAAGCTTGAGACTTTCTTACCCGAGTCTTAGAACCCCAATATACAGCCCTGATTATTAGACCGAAAGCTCCTCTTCTACTTCTCAGACATACAAAAAAAAGAAAGAAAGAAACGTGGCTATAATCCTTCTCTGAGTTGTGTGGCTATTAGATTTATCAAGGGAGCAGAACTTGGAGGGGTAGTTATCAGAGGCCCCAGGGCCTTTCCCAATGCCAGGTACTAAGGTTTGCCGTGGATCCCGGGCTACTTTCCAGAAGAGCACAGTGGTGTCCCTTATACTGTGTGACCCATTAAATCTTGAGCTGACGAGATCGGGCGCATTCCGGGTGGTATGGATGAAAGTATTTCAAATTGTATACAGAAACAGTACATTGTACCCCATGATAGTATTAATGTACACTGCTATGATTTAATAAAAAATAAATAAATCTTGAGCTGAACACGGCACTCAAAGAAAGCTCTTGGTCCCAGTGTCACCTGCTGAACACCAAACATTAACTTTTCCATTTCTAGTATTTTTGATTCATGTCTTCCTTGCTGGACAGTACAATCTATTTTACCTTTTAAAAAGGGCAACTCTCTGCCATCTATGGCCTTCGAGCTGGTTCCAAGTACAGAACAGAGGCATCTATGTGCAACCTCTCAGCTTTCTCCTTAGACTCAATTCCTTTGGCAGGCAGGGGCTGCACCCGGGCTCTCTCCCCTCTTCTTAGCTAACATTCGCTGAGGGTTTACTCTGGGCCAGACACTGTTCTAAGAACTTTACCTCTAAACTTGGGTAATTCTCCCAGGAGGAGGAAGCTACCTCCCCAGGGAGCTAAGATTCATCTGCACGTCCCCCACCAGTGCCTGCTGGCAGCCTGTTGAGACGTTTTCAGGCACTTAACACCATTTGCATGGGAAAGTTTACCGCAGTCCTAAAGGGGCCCAGAGGATGCAAAGAAATCAGTCCAAATAATCTGATTCTCAA